CTTTTGGGTCCCTTGTTGCAGGTATTGTCATTCCAATGGTTGAAGCTATAGGTCGGGTATGAGTGTAAGATATTGATTTGGAATTTGATATGATCTAAATTAAAATTACCTTGACTCAACTGATCGAGTTAGATTGTGTTAACTTAAAATGACCTGAGTAAAATTAATTAATTTTTTTAATTTAAAACATTAATTAATTATACTTTTAACTTTAATTTTTAAACATAAAATAAAATATAATATATAAAATGATTATTATTTATTATAGATTATTAGAGTTAATATTAATTTAATAATTTTTTAACTAAATAATTAATTAATACATAGTATTAAAAATTTTTAAAGAAAAAGGGAGAAAATATTGAAAAGTTAATTTTAATTTTTTAAAAGGTTGAGTCCATCCAACCTAATTTGGGTCCTGTGTGAGTGAATTATATGTCTATCATTTCAATCCAAAATCCAAAAAAACCCAATCCAATAATTTTGAAATCTAAGGTGACTCAATCTGAATTCATTCGATTCAATTTGTTTCTTAGATCTAATTGCTGGTGAATTGGAGATGGAAAATGGAAGAGAATCTCAACCAAAAGTTTTAAGTCATCCAGTCAACTATCATTGTTCTTCAAATGAAATTTTTGATGTCTAATTCTAGGAATTATAAGGCTGCCTTGTTTTGATAAGGGAGTTTCAATAAAATAACTTCCTTCCTCTTTTGGTTAATAAAAGGAGTACCCTCTTTTGGTTAATAAAAGGAGTACCCTTAATGTATGTATGACTAATATACATATATATATATATACGTGCATCACCCAAAAAAAAAAAAAAAAAAAGAGAAGTTAATGTACATACTTTGAGATTCCAAAAACCATTTGTCGCAGACTAAATAGAGAATTAATGTTGTTTCAAAGTTATTGTTATTTTAGAATCCATTGATATATTCATTTGATTGTTAATATGGAGCTTAAATAGTAGATCTGCTCATCTTAGTTCTTCAGTTATTGGAATTAAAGATCTTTATCCCTCAGCTGCACAGTAAACTGGTATTTGTTACAGCAAGAGATAAAGAATCAAGTAAACACAATATCTATGTCAGTTAACCCATATATATACAAACAATGACAAAGTTATTTAGATTTTGCTAAGAAAACACAAGTAAAAGTAATCATCGAGAATGTTCTCAAATTTTAACCAAAATTCAAAACAACTTCAACAATACGTTATAGAAATCATATCCGTATTATAAATTAGTCAATTCTTACTCCAGTCATTGAATGTTACATCAAAATATTAGATGGTGGATCCCATTGAGAAAAGTATGCAAAGACCAATGTGGTAGTCCTTTTGGTCCCTCAATCGGCAATTTCATGGTGACTTACTGGGAAGAAAATCCAATTAAAAACCTCTTCAATCTTCATTCATAAATACAAACTCTTGAATTCGAAACCAAGACAGCAGTGCCACTAAAAGTTTAATTTCTGTAATCAAAAGAAATTTTATCTGATATCAATTCAGTGCGGGCAGGTTGAAGCGCTTAAATGGTGGGGCAAATCAAATTGAAGAGGTGACATAATACAGAATAAGCTTAAATATGACATCCTCATCCTCTACCCTAACTGCTTCCATTGTGGCAGCAGTCATATGGGTTACAATTCTTACAGCAGCCACAAAAATGTTAGCAGCAGCAGTGTCGCAAGAATCAGAAGCCAAGGCATTGTTGGATTGTGGGTGGTGGAATAACTACATCGTCAGCGGTTTACATCATTGTAGCTGGCTTGGCGTGACATGCGACCATAACGGAACCGTCATCGAGATTAGCCCTCCAGTGCAATTAAATATGGGAGGAAGTTCAGCAAAGTTGAACTTTTCTGCCTTCCCCAATCTTATTCGGCTTGATCTTGCTTCTCAAGGACTTAAAGGAGGCATCCCTCCTAGTTTGGGTCATCTAACCAAACTTAGAAAACTGTCTCTTGGGACGAATCAACTTAGTGGATCCATACCTCCAGAAATTGGGAAGCTACATAATTTGGTTACTTTGGATCTTTCTTGCAACTCTCTTTCAGGTGAAGTTCCTCCCACTTTAGGTCATTAGCTAATTTGGTTACAATGGAACTATCCTCGAACAGGCTTGCAGGCTTAATACCTACCACCTTGAGTCAATTGACGAATCTGGTCTATCTTAACCTTAGCTCTAACAACCTCAGAGGTTCAATCCCTCTAGAATTTGGAAATATGAAGAATCTCAGCTTTCTACGTATGGATAGAAACCAGCTTACCGGTCTCTTGCCTCCAACTTTGGGTCTCCTTCACAAGTTGAAGCACTTAAATCTTGCGGTAAATCAAATCAATGGTTCCATCCCCTTGGAGATAGGAAATTTGAAGAATCTAGCTTACTTGCATCTTGGTTCGAATCTTTTAGAAGGTTTAATACCTGGAGATATTGCACAAGCAAAATCCTTGAAATTTTTGGACCTTGGGCAGAACAGGTTCACTGGCCTCATCCCCTTCCAAATTGGTCGTCTTTCTATGCTCTCGGAGTTCTATGCTGACCATAACTTCATTAGTACAGAGATACCTTCCGAGCTTGGGAACTTAACAAATCTATTTACCTTGGATCTCAGCCACAACTTCATCAGCGGGGAGATACCTTTCCAACTTCGGAATTTAAAAAATTTACGAACCTTGGATCTCAGCCAGAATCGTGTTACAGGTACGATCAGCTTTTAGCACACTTCTTCATTTGATTTGAATTGAGCAACCTTGGATAATTTGTTTTCTTTGATTTTCACACATTTATTTCAATTCCTTCAATCAATCTCAAATATCTAATAGACAGCTTTAGAGTAAGAACAAAGTAAATAGTCAAATCCTTCTTAAATACTTAGTAACAAGGACATGTTTCGCAGGTTCGATCCCTCCAGCTCTGCTTCATCTAACCAACCTGACCTATTTGTATCTTGATTCAAATCTTTTACAAGGTCATATACCCATGGGAATTGGGAATTTGAGAATTTTGTGCAACAGTCAGAACAAATTGAGTAGACCCATCCCTGTTCAGTTTAGGAATTGCTTCAAATTAATGGAGTTATCACTGAGCAACAATTACTTAAATGGAAGCATCCCCCTTCAGATTGGTTATCTCTATAGCCTCTCACTAATTAATATCAGCCACAATTCCATTAGTGGAATGATACCTTTTCAACTTGGGGATTTACCAAAGTTGGAGGTCTTGGATCTTAGTTACAATAATCTCTCAAGCTCTATTCCAAAAAACTTGCTTCATCTAACTTCTTTGAGGGGCTTGTATCTTGTTTCAAATCTTTTAGAAGGTCATATACCTGGTAGTATTGAGAATATGTGCTCTTTGCAATATTTATGCCTTTCCCAAAATAGATTGAGTGGACCCATTCCAATTCAGCTTGGAAATTGCTTGAACTTAACGGAGTTGTCATTGAGCAAGAACTCCTTAAGTGGAAGCATCCCTATTCAAATAGGCAAACTCTCTATACTCTCACGAATTGATATCAGCCACAATTTCATTAGTGGACCTATCCCTGTTCAGCTTAGGAATTGCCTTAAATTAAAGGAGTTATCATTGAACAACAACTACTTAAGTGGAAGCATCCCCCTTCATATTGGCATTCTCCATAGTCTCTCACTGATTAATATCAGCCACAATTCCATCGGTGGAATAATACCTTATGAACTTGGGGATTTACCAAACTTGGAGGCCTTGGATCTTAGTTACAATAGTCTCTCAGGCCAAATCCCTATTACATTGCTTCATTTTCCTAAAAGCTCTTTCATAGGAAACAGGGGTTTAAATGATCTCCACCTTGGGAACAAAGGGAACAAAGGGAACAAAGTGTTGAGGCCCATTAAAATTATTCTTCCCACTACCATTTCTCTTGCCTTGGTATCTCTAGCTTTGTTGTTGCTTTGCAGAAGAATACATGGAGCTAAAAGTAGAAAAGCATATCGAAGTCAAATGAAAAATGGAGATATATTCTCAGTATGGAACTTTGATGGAAGGATTGCATATGAAGATGTCATTGAAGCAACTGAGGATTTTGACATCAAATATTGCATTGGGACTGGTGGCTATGGTAGTGTTTATAGAGCACAATTGCCAAGTGGCAAAGTAGTTGCTTTAAAGAAGCTTCATCGAAGGGAAGCAGAGGAGCCAACTTTTGATAAGAGTTTTAGGAATGAGGTTAAGATGTTGACAGAAATACGACATAGGAATATAGTGAAGCTTCATGGATTCTGCCTACACAGGAGATGTATGTTTTTGATCTATGAATACATGGAAAGAGGAAGTTTGTTTTGTGTGCTTAGAAAGGATGATGAAGCCGTGGAGTTGGATTGGAACATGAGATTGAATGTCATAAAAAACACAGCACATGCTTTGTCTTACCTTCACCATGATTGCATCCCACCCATCCTTCATCGTGACATATCAAGCAACAACATTCTTTTGAACTCAGAAAGTGAGGCTTTTGTTTCTGATTTTGGAAATTCTAGGTTTTTGGATCCTGATTCATCCGATTATACTGTACTTGTCGGCACTTATGGTTACATTGCCCCAGGTTTTCTCCAATACCATTCTTCTATTATCTTATTTCATTATCTACTATTGAATTGGCATGTTAAACAATGTATGTTTTTCCTTTCTAGAGCTCGCCTATTCGATTGCTGCGACTGAGAAGTGTGATGTTTATAGCTTTGGAGTTGTGGCATTAGAAGTACTAATGGGAAGGCATCCTAAGGAACTATTGACATCATTGTCATCATCACTATCTTCTTTGCTAAATGTGATGCTAAGTGACATATTAGATACGCGTCTATCACCTCCACGAAGCAGAAATCTTACCCAGAATATTGTGGTGGCTGCGACACTTGCATTTGCTTGCTTGCGTGCAAAACCCAAGTCTAGGCCAACAATGAAATTTGTTTCTCAACAGTTTGTTGCACGCCAAAGGCCACTCTTGAAGCCTTTTTTGGCTATTTCTCTATTGGAACTGATGAATAGTGATTTGGAGATGGAAAATGAAATAGAATCTCTACCTGATGTTTCAAGTCATCCAACAATGTATCATGGTTGTTCTTCAAACAAAGTCCTTGATATTTAATTCTGGGAAGCCAAAGGCTGCCTTGTTTTGATGACAGATTGTCCATAAAAATAGCTTTGTTCCTCCGTTGGTTATTGGAAGGAGAACAAAGCATTACGTGTAATAATTTTTTTACTTCTTATATGGTATACACACATTAGTGAGTTAATGAACCTTTGAGATCCTAGAAATCATTTTCTCAAACTAAACAGGGAATGAATGTTTTTCTAGAGTTGTTTCAAAATCCATTAATTCATTTGGTTGTTAATAATCATGTCAGTTAACCTGTAATACATTCAGGAGCAAAGTTGCTAAGAGAACAGATATAAATAACCATCAAAAATGTTCTCAGGCTTCAACCAAAATTCAAAATAATTTTAACAATACTGTATAGAAATCCATATATCATATTATAATCAAGTCACTGTTCCTCCTGTCATGAATGTGACACCGAAGGATTATGGACCCCATTGAAAACAGGTATGCAAAGATCAATGTGGTAGTCGCTCTCTTAGTCCCCAATAGGCGATTTCAGGGCTTGCTTTCTTGGAAGAAAATTTAGCCAATTAAAAGGAATTGAAGACCTCAGGTCTTCTTCAATCTTCATGATTTCATCCATGAATGCAAAGTCTTTGATTTGAAAGCAAGACTAGAGTTCTGCCCCAAAGGGTGACTCAATTAGTTAAGAGCTTGATATTCTAAGTTGAAAATCTTATGTTCAAATTTTAAGTCCAGTAGGGAAGGAATTGAGAAAAAAAATATATTTTTTCTTGTATAAACCATCAGCACATGTACCAAAAATCAATATTGAAGTTCTAATCAAGTTTAATTTCCGCAAAAAAGAAAGAAAGAAAAAATCATTCAACATCAATTCATTCCAGCTTGATACCAATAATTTGAAATTGGAACAATAGGTTGCAACCGAGTCAAGACCACATACATATCCTCAACAACTGTTGAACGGACAATGAAACGGAAGCAGTTTTACTTCTGAAACTGTAATAACGATAAAGATCTTTATCAGATAGCTCGTGGGGCGGAAGGATCATTTCATGGGGCACCCAAACCAGGTGGGTCTGTGAGTCAAATTGGGAAACCATGAGCAAAAATTTCCTAAAGACTAGATTTTCCCCCCCTTTTTTTGGTTCTTTCTCCCATGAGTTTAGAGCTCAAAGTCTCAAATTGTGCGCATAAAATAGGTGGAACGGTCAAAGAAAAATAGGTGGACATGTGAAATGGTCAAAGTAGGGGTGTTCATATCCTATCTAATCCCACTTATGTAACTTAAACTGATCCAATCCTATAAAAAATCAAACCAAAATGATATAAAATTGAGTTGGTTTGAATTATAAAATTTTAAAACCGATATAATTGGTTTAGTTGTAGTTTTACCTTTAAACTACTCAAACCACTGGATTACAAAATAAAATTCGATTGCAAGATAAGTTAATTAAATAATGTAATATATTTTTTGTAGTATTTTAAATCTTATTTTTCTTTTTTTACAAGATCATAAGTCCATTAATTTAAATAAAAAATAAAAATGGAACATCCCCATATTCCCTAATTTATTTTTCCTTTTGAATCGTACACTCTAATCCTAATTCTAAATTCTAATTCACCTCTAACTCTATCCTTCAAAATTGGTTTGTGACTCTACTCTTAGAACCCTAAATTTCTAATTTGTTCTTAAAATGATATTTTGATTCTCTTAGCTAAACTTTACAAAAGTATCATTCTAAATGTCTTAAAACTACATAATAGAACTAGTCTTAATATTCTATTATTCTTGGATGTTTGGTTGAGGAGTTTTAAACCTTGATTATGAATACTTCTAATCAATTCTAGTGATATTTATGTTAAAATTTATTCACTTTTAACATGATTTCGAATATGAGATTGAATTATTAATGCATTAAGAAAAAGAACTAATTTTAACTTTTAAGAATTACTTGCACTGTACTTAAAACTTAGAATCATCTTTTATTATTTTTTGTGCCTTTGGTGATGTAGCCAAGAAGAATTTCTAGGTCTTTTCAATCTTCACAACTGTAAAGGAATATTAGAACTTGTTTATAATTTGTACATTTTATTATTTTTCTTTTGATTTAGATATTAATATGTTTTATAATTATGTTTTCTACTTGATGTTAAACTTTTTTACATTATTTTATATATTTAATAGTGTTAAAAACCTGATCAATCCGATCGAACCACACCAATCCGCTTTAAGTTAGATTGGTTTCGTTATCATATAATAGTGGATTAGATTGGTTTAAAAATTTTACAAATTAATCGATTAAATTGGATTGGTTTAAAAAATATTAAAATCTAAACCACACTATGAACACCCTTAGGTCAAAGAATGGGGGCAAAGGGAGATAAAGGCCAAGGAGGCAACTGACTTTGGATAGGAAAAATACTGTACTTGCTAAAGAGGAAGGCTATGAGCACTAGTAAAAATATTAAAATTAATAAAATTGTAAAAATTTTATTTTTAAAAATATTGATTTAATTTAATTTAATTAATAAAAATAATTAATAATTATAATTATAAACCAATAATTGATAGAACAGTTGATATTTATTAGTTACTAAATTAAAATCAATTACAAATTGACATTTTTAGACACTATTTAAGAATAAAAACTAAAATTTTAGTGGCTTAACATTTTTTATAGTAACAATAACCACAACCTTGCTCAAAGTGAAATACTTTAAGCTCTGTTTTGTGGCTTCTTATTCTTGTTTTGGTTTTTTTAAAATTTAAAAATCTTATAATAAAGCTAATATTAAAAAAAGGAGGTATACTTGAGTATGAAAAGGTAAGAATATATAAGGTTGAGGGTAAGACAATGAGGTCAAAAGGGAGGAGAAAATATAGGAAATAATTTGATCTTTCCATTCTTCCATTTCTTTCACTCTTCAATTTTGGTTTTAGTTTCATACAATGCCAGCTTATATATAAGTTAAGAGATAACAAATATTATATAAATTCAATAGATGAACTTGACTAGATTTATGAGGATAAACTTAACTAGATTTGTGGATAGAATTTAATTTGAACATTTAATCACTACTAGAAAAGAGTATAACCAATAAGTTTATAATCAACAGCTAATTTTCTATTGATTATACTTGTACAATCAACAGAAAAGTTGTCGATTATGTACTTTATTGGCCTATATAATCGACAAAAATTATAATTAACAACTTTTTTTTATCGATTATATAAGTATAATTGATAGATAATTGGCTGTCGATTATGTACTAAACATAATCGACAACTTTTTCGTCGATTATATGGAAAAATAACGTGTTTGGCAGTTGGGGTTCTGTATAGGTGGTTGAAAAAAGTCAAATTTTTAGTGAGGCAAGTCCTGAAAAATTGATTCCTTGTAACTTTAAAACCAAAAATTTTACATAACAATCAATA